AGCTTTGTTTGATTTCATTAATCTCAGCGCCTTTTCCACTTCTCTACGTGATATGTTATCAGTCCTCCTCTCTGTTGGTAAGCCCGCTCCTGTTTCCACTCTTGGGTTCTCTACATTCATTAAGTTTTCAAAATATTCCTTCCATCTCCTTTTTATAGCATCATCATCATACAAAACATTTCCTTCTGTATCCTTCATATGCCTGATATGTGTCTGATCTTTCGTACTCTTGTCTCTGGCCTTTGCTATTCTATAAATCTTTTTCTGTCCTCCTCTTGTATCGAGTTCTTGATACATTTCTTCCCTTGCCTCAGCTTTAGCTACTGCCACTGCTTTCTTTGCTGCTTTGTTCGCTGTTTTAAGCCTTTCTTCATTTTCCTCATTTCTGTTTTTGTAATATTCCTTCCTTGTAATCTTCTTCTGCTTTATAGTTTCCGATATTTCTTCCTTCCACCACCAAGTTTCCTTGTCATTGGGTGGTCCTTTACCAGATGTCATCCCCAATATTTCCTCTGCAGCTTGTCGGATCATTGAAGCATTCAAATTCCACCACTCTTCAACTCCCTCCCTCAACTCTATCTGCTCCAGCACTCTCTCCCTGAACAAACTTCTCTGGTCTTCGTCTTTCAAATTCCACCACTTAATCTTAGGTATTGCCTTTTCTTTCCTTTCCTCCCTCTTTTAATGTTAAACTCCCCAATAATCAGGTGATGTTGTTTGGCAGCTGTTTCTCCCTTAATTACCTTAAAATTTCTGACTTCACTCATTTTACTTCTCTTGTATAATATGTAGTCCAATTGTGTTTCCTGTCCTCCACTTTCATATGTATTGTAATCCTTCTTTTTGAAGAACGTGTTCAATATAGCCAGATCGTATGCCACTGCGAAGTCAATTAGCCGTTCTCCGTTGGGATTTACAGCCCCGCTCCCATATCTACCATGGACACGCTCTATTGCCAAGTTTCTCTCTCCCACGTGACCATTGAAATCGCCAGCAATCAAGGCTGTTTCAACATCCGGTATCTCTGTGCACATACTATCTAGGTCTTGCCAAAATTTGTCTTTCTCTTCATCATCGCAGCCTACTTGTGGTGCATATACACTCATTATATTAATGATTGTATTTCCGATAATTAGTTTAATCAACATTATTCGGTCATTCTTTCTCCAGACACTGATGACGTTTTCTTTATGATTGGGACTCAGGATTATTCCAACTCCATTCCTTCCTCTTCCATCTGCTCCACTGTAGAAAAGCTTAAAGCCTCTCCCCAGCTCTCGGGCCTTATTCCCCTCCATCGTGTTTCCTGTAGGCAAAGTACCTCCAACTTTCTTCTCTCCATGAGATCCACAACCTCCCTCCCCTTTCCTGACATTGTGCCAACATTAAGGCTGCCGACTTTAACGGCTTGAATTTGAGTGGAGTTAGGCATTTCACCTCTCCCTGCAAAACCGGATATTCTTAGCACCCTCTGCCCATTTAAGGGCTGCCGGGACTGAGGGCCAATATTCTTTCAGCTTCTGTCATGTTGGTTTGGAGCGGTTTTTATTTTACGATGGGCTTGTGTAAAATGCAAAAACTAAACACGCACATTTGGATTTTTCCAGTTTCAAATATTACAATCATGGTTTTACCAAAATGCTTCACTGGATTCTGGTATTTCCTTCATCACCGGCTTATACACATTTCCTCTCCAAAACTTATGCGCAGACATCCAAATATACATCTGAAACGCGCACATGCCCATATGGAAAATGCAGACTCCTAAACACGCACATTACAATCACGGTATTACCAAAATGCTTCACTGGATCCTGGGATTTCCTTCATTACCGCTCATACACATTTCCTCTCAAAATCTCTTAACTGTGGCGCACTTTCAGGACTGGACCCCAAGCTCCCGGAGTTCGTCCTGCAACAACAGAGGAAGCGACGCACCGGTTCGTCGTGCCACAGCCAGGCCACCTCGAGTCCTCGACTACGATGGAGACGACGAGCGGACGCCGAAAGGAGAGATCTAGCAGGTAGGGCGATGATTCCACTAGGCTGAAGAAGATAGATGTACAATGCGTTTGCTGGAAGCTAATATAGTGGAGATTAATTGTAGTTGCAGGTATGCAAACAAAAATGGAAGCGTAGGCGGTGGAAGAAGAGGCGGTCATAAGGGGAAGGCAGAGTGGAGTGCTCCAGCTTGGGCCAGGAGTGAGAACTACGATGATGCGCCGCTCAGTGTAGACCAAGTAGATGTTATCCGTTGTGACTCCAGCCAAGTTGGTGGCAGGTGCAAAGGGCACTGCCAAGGTTTGTCTTCGTGCCTTTGTCTCTGTGTTTGCGTGATGTCCTTCTCCCTTTTTTTAAATCCAGAATCCGTGTCCACTCCTATTTCTGTCTGGACATAAAACTGCAGGAGTCCTGGAACATGAGTGTTGCAAGAGTTTTTAACTATATGTGCAACTTTGTCACTGGGTAGTTGTGCAGACTACAACCAATATCTTCTCGTGTACAAATTAAGCAATTATATCGGACTGTCAAAAGTTTATTTAGAAATGATGCAAAATGATTATTAACTATTTGCAGCATCGCCAAGCTCATTCATCCTAATATATTTATGCTTTATTACAAATGGAAAAGGATCTTTAAATATTGTTGAATCTTCCAGATAGTGCTAACAATAGCCGACAGGTCAAGTGGAGATTCCGCTGTGGAAAATGTTCAGCCAGCGGACAAGTGGATCTCTTCCGTTCCCATGTTACAGTTGGCAACAAATACAGAGACAGTAGGAGTGATGGAGCATCCAGCTGAGACTAAAACGCTTGGTGTAGGATCAGATGAAGAGGGTCGGGGAAACAGCTGTTTTTCAGGAGAGAAGTCCAAGACGCGGTGCCAAAGACATCGTAGCAGAAGGAAGCTGTTTTATGAAGAGCACATTACTAAAGATGACGATTTTATTTGTGAGAAAAAGAGCATTTGTTGCATCTTCATAGTTGTCGTTGCATGGATTTCATAATCTTGAATTAATTTCAATTCATCACGTTATTAATTGTATTGATAGTTGCGCACTTAGAATTGTACATGAGGTAGATAGATTCAGATACCATGAATTCTTTTTGTTTGCAGATTGCGCAGACTGTGAAGAGAAAGAAAGAGGAGAGTGTCCGTACCACCCATTGTTCCTTATTCTGGATAACCCAGTAAGTGTGCCATCCATGTCTGAATATTGTCTCAAACATAAAATGTCATGCTCTCACAACTTTGGTAAGATTGAATATTTAACTAGTCACAAACATAACTGGTGACCATACACACATACACACGCACACAGTTTTAAATAGCATTATCATCCCAATGGTATGTTTGGACAGGTTGTTCGAGACGCAGCGAGAAAGATCGTGCTCGCCTCACAGCCCCTTGGCCCCTCACTGTGTACGACTCGAAAGTGAAGGGGGCAGCAAGGGGCGTGTGGACCAATGCTCATCTCCCAGCCCATCTTGTGTTTGGTCCGTATGAGGGCCGTGTCCTATCTGGCCATCCGGAAGCCGGCAAAGAATCTGGCTATGGGTGGAAGGTTAGTTTATTCTGTGGCGTAAAACATATGATATTAGATAAATGATATTTTTTGCGGTTTTCTATAAGAGAAAATCCACTTACGCAAATAGTTGAAAGTTTTTCACCTTCCTGTACTTTCCAGATTCGAAGTGCTGGAACAAGGAATACATGCATTGATGCTGTAGACAGTGCAGTTAGTAACTGGATGCGTTACGTCAACTGTTCAAGGACTGACGCTGAGACTAACCTATCTGCATTTCAGTACAAGGGGCAGATCTACTACAAGACGGACTCTGCAATTAGCAGGTCAGTATAATTCTGTAGTGAAGTCAACTTTTCCTAACCATACACCTGTCATAACGTGCTTATTGATATTTAAAAGATACAGACAAACAAGGCCAAACTAATTGTGAACAGGGAGCGAGCTGATGTGCTGGTACGGAACGATTTCGGGAAGATCTTGGTCTATCGAGAGAGCCATCCAAGTGGATTCAGCGAAGAAAGACGTAATAGGTGCGCAAATACGTTTCAAAACCTTATTTTCCATTCTGAAGGGAAGTGTAGTGTATTCAGAAATTGTTGGAATGAATTTGGATGATATAGATTGATATTGTAAGGATAAATAATCCATAACTAAGCTTGCTATAATTCCAACGTGTGTGTGTGTGAGCATGTGTGCATAAGTGTATTAGATGTATGTACATATGTATGTCTGCACATATATACATCAATGTATTCAAATATGTACTCACACACACACACACGCGTGTGTGTGTTTACTACATACACATTTGCATGCACTCGTGTGTGTGTGTATTTGTATATATATTTATTGTATATATACATTATATATATATATATATATATATATTATATATATATTATTTGTGAATATAATATGTATGTATGTGAATATGTATATATACATATAATGATGGTTTAACTGCTGTCAGTTAATCTATTTCTTTGATAATGTATGCACTTTCCCATGTCTGGATTCTTTTCAGATCGACAGTGTGAATGGTCTGGCTTAGTCTACACCTCGAAAGATTATCTAATGCGTCCCCTAAAAGTGTTCAGAAAGCGTATTCGCACTTACACGCCGCCAACATGCTCCACGCGAAGAACCAGCAGCAGTAGTGGCTCAACCAAACAATCTTTGCGAGAAGAGGCGCCGCAGTTCCCGGAAAAGGCGTCTCATGAGACGCCAGCATCTGATGAATCGCAGTGTGATTACAAGTGTGAATCTGCTGATATCCTAAGTCAACATGTGTTAATACACAGTGGAAAAGAACTGTTGGAGTGTTCAGAGAGTAGGAAAAGATTTGCTGACAGTGATAAGTTGAAGGAAACCCAAAAAATTGAATCAGGAGAAAGGCCGTTCGAGCATTCCGAATCTGGAAAAAGGTTTAAAGAAAGTGGTGATCTGAAGAAACCCAGAGGATTCACTCAAGAGAAAAGCCGTTCGAGTGTTCCGAGTGTGGAAAAAGGTTTTATGCAAGTGGTTCTCTGAAGAAACACCAGAGGATTCACTCAGGAGAAAAGCCGTTCGAGTGTTCCGAGTGTGGAAAAAGGTTTAATCAAAGTGGTCATCTGAAGAGACACCAGAGGATTCACTCAGGAGAAAAGCCGTTCGAGTGTTCCGAGTGTGGAAAAAGGTTTAATCAAAGTGGTCATCTGAAGATACACCAGAGGATTCACTCAGGAGAAAAGCCGTTCGAGTGTTCCGAGTGTGGAAAAAGGTCTAATCAAAGTGGTCATCTGAAGACACACCAGAGGATTCACTCAGGAGAAAAGCCGTACGAGTGTTCCGAGTGTGGAAAAAGATTTAGTGAAAGTGGTTCTCTGAAGAAACACCAGAGGATTCACTCAGGAGAAAAGCCGTTCGAGCGTTCCGAGTGTGGAAAAAGATTTAGTGAAAGTGGTTCTCTGAAGAAAACACCAGAGGATTCAACATCAGAAAAAGCCGTTAATCAAAGTGGTCATCTGAAGGCACACAGAGGATCACCTCAGGAGAAAAGCCGTTCAAGTGTTCCGAATGTGGAAAAGGGTTTAATGCAATTGGTAATCTGAAAACACACCAGAAGATCCACAGAGTCCGCTGAATTATTTGTCTCACCTGTACATTTTGCTTTAGATGTGAGGCTAAGATAAGATATAAAAGGACAGGGAAACATGATATTTTTTTTATTTTGTTTACACCAAATGAAGGCCTCAGCAGACTAGTTTACTTTACCCAGTACGACTATCTGAAAACCTTACTTATACTTTTTATTCAATCCTCAATGGTAGAGGGATTGTTATTAATGAATCTGGTGCATATCAATAAAAAACGAAAGTTCTTGAGCAAGTTTGTTACTCATTTCCCAATTTTTTGTCTCCAAAAGGATTGATTATATATATATATATATATATATATATATATATATATATACGATATATATTTAATCCTACAGATTCGTTTTAACTTAAATAATACTAATCCTGAGTATGCTAAGTTTTGATATCCATGAATTTTGGCAGGAAATCTTTGATCGTGACGTCATACTCGAGCACCTCTGAAGCTCAGACCTTTCAAGGACAAAAGATTCAACTTTTACTATTAAAATTTCTTGAACTGTCATATCTAGAGACCATTGTGCAATATGTCTCGTGGAATCAATGGGTATGGCGAAAATGCATTATGTCACGGCTTGAAACTAGCCGTTTAATCTTGAATAAGTTACCGAAACCACGTAAAAAATGCTTTGAAAATGAAGAGGGATCCGTCAGCGACGGCTTTAGATGACGTTAAAGCAATTATAATATTGATGATAATGATAATAATGATAAGGATAGTTATAAGAAGAATAACAGTGATAGAGGTAACATCACTATCACCATTATTATTATTGTTAGTGTCATCATTATTATCTTCATTACAATTACCATTTTCATTAACCATTTTCTTTTTCCTCTCGCATTTCTTTGTGCTTTCTCTCTATCTATCTCTATCTCCCTCCTTCCCTCTCTCTATGCCCACTCCCTCACTTACAACACCCTCCTTCCCTCTCTTTCTCTCACTCTCTATCTTTATCTCCTTCCCTCCCCCTCTCTCACATACTACCCCTCCCCCATTGTTCTCCATCTCTCTGTTGGGTATCCCCCACATTTCTTACCTTTTCTCCTCCCCTCCTATCAACCTCTCAACCTCGCCACAACAAACAAGCATAAGATTGCATATTTGCTTTTCCTTACTCCCGCTCACTCACTTGAGACTCGCCTCATCAATTTGCCTTGCTTCATCCTCGTTTATCGGTTTCAACTCTTCCTCTTTCCGTCTTGTTTCAGTGTTCCTGCCTTATTTTTAAAAAATTCTATCTTTTATTTATTATTTTTATTTTTTTTGTGGCTGACTGGGTCTATGGTATCTTTTCTTTCTCATTTTCCATTAGATTTTGCTCTCCTTTCCCCCTCCTTGTGCCACCTCTTTCTCGTTTCGTTTTCTCTCTCTCTGACTGCCTGTCTGTCTTTCTATCTGTCCATGTGTGTGTGTGTGTGTGTGAGTATTAAAGGCTCTAAAGCCTCCTATATGGATTTATTGAATTACTGGTGGCGGTAGAGATACACTGATGTAGCTGTGCACTTTTATTTAAGAACACTAGTATGAAAGGAACGCGATACGGCTCTTGGTGCTGGTGTCCGGCCTACACGCCAACGAGGTGGTACGGCCGACTACGGGCAGGCTCTCCGAGGTGTATGAGAAGAGAGCTTGGTCAAGCAAGCGAAGTTAAAAGAAAAGAGGTCGGCCACCCTTATATTCTGACCAGTGGGCGCAAGCGGGCGCGAACGGACCACGTGGTCCAACCACGCGGTGCGGACCCGGTCCATGTGACATGCTATGCAGTATGCTATATCGCTCGGCACCTACGATATAGCATACTGCATAGCATGCCACGTGGTTCGGGTCCGCGCCGCGTGGCATGCTATGCAGTATGCTATGTGAGTCTGTCCTTCACTCTTTGTATATTCTCTCTCTCTCTCTCTCTATCTGTATATTTGCCTAACTAATAGCTTGCATTTTTAATTTTTATATATCATTAAACTGCATTCTAGTTTGCTATATTACTGCCTATTTTTGCAAAGCGCTGTTACAGAACTTCTGTGCAATGAAAGAAAAAAAATCTTGAAGAATTTAAGAACGCAAAATAAAAGTGTATGTGTGCGTGTTTGTGTGTCAGAAAGAGAGAGAAACATAGAATGACTCACCTAAGGCTTTGTACAAGAACGTTTTGTTTTGAAAGTTCATGATCTAAGCGTCCTGGTAAATGGTGCATTGGTAACGTTAATTGCATTTCGTAATAATATTAATTTTGTTTATTATATGTTTCTTTATTGATATCATGTACTGAGGTATTTCCATGGATATGACTTCAATTATAAGAACGTTTAATCCTTACCAGGGTGTGAATTCTAACAGGCTCCTCTAAACTATGTTATTTACCTCTTAATCGGTGATTCCATTTCATAATTACCCTGGTCCTTAAAATGCATTGTTCTTCCATTGTCTAAATACAATAAAAAAAGAAAAAGAACCTTTGGATGTGGGTCCACTGGATTGCTCTGGACAGGCAGTCTTGCCTCTTTCACTCTCTCCTTGTTTAGAAATAGATCTAGGCAAAAATATATTGATATAGTCATTGCCATGATTTGAAATTTTACAACACGAGGAAAACAATGAAAAACATTGATCTAAAACAGAGAACTCATACAAGATATTGGTTCAATATATATGCGGCAGCAAGACAAGAAATGCGCCTTCATTTATCAGCACTTTCCGTCTCGAAGATTGTAGCCCCCAGTATCTCCAACTACAGAATACGTCACACTGTGGGGCCACCAGTACAATGTGTCAGCACTGCCTGCAGCAATAAGGGCTTCAAGAATAGTCTCTTGGATTCTTGCACACGGTTTAATCCTTTCTTGGAGGAGACATTCGAGCTGCAAACAAATAGATACCATTGCTATGTACTGAAATGCAGCTCACCTAATATACAAATAATTTCAAAATGGCTAACATAATAGCAAATTCAATACACAAACATAAAATACGTACATCGTATCCCAAAGCGGGTAACACTGACACTTCACATCACCACAGGCACGTCACGCACGACAGGTACATCTCAGGACAGCTAGACAGCCTGCACCCTTGCATCTATGCGAGACAATTCCGCTTATGTAAAACATATCAGGTATCAGCACTTGACATAGATTACACCTACATGGAAATAATGGCACATCACTATTCTTATAAAGGCAAATACAGTATACTAATAACACCAACCAATGCGATGATCACGTGAGGGTAGAAAATCACTCTGCAAGGCAGCAAGCCCAACGCCAGCGCTCTTTCCCAGACTACACCGAAGTCCTTGGGGTTACCACTGTGACTGCAACAATCCTTTAGCACTTTAACTGCCAGCTCTTCCACAGAAATACTGGCGTTATACAAGAATGTCAAAGCACAAACGCAATTTCCATGAGCGTGTCAGTCAACAAAAAACCTGTTCGAGCTGGTGGTGGCGCCTTGCCCAGGCTCTCCCAGCCATCATAATACAGATTATAGGAAGACCAATCAGAACTAAGCGCTGCTCGTGCGTGAACCAATCAGCTTCAAGGATGGGAAACATTTGTAAAATGGGCTATTATCAATAATTAGTCAATGCATATTTAAATCCCATTCTTACTGTCAATATATCTCTTGCTATCGGTGATCGACTCAAAACTCAACCTTCCGGTATAACCATATTCTTTCTTAATTACAGATGCTGCAAGGGGCGGGGCTACTTGTTGCCTGGGTAAATTTGGCGGGCGGGGAAAACGCGGTAACGTCTTGGCCATATCACATATTTCAACTTATTTCACTGGATAAACAGGATATCTGACTCATAATGACAAATATAAATTCATTCACTTCTACATCAGCCTATACACACATACGTTTCACATAACATAGTCACATACTAAGATATTTCAAATAAAAAATGCCAGCAGCAAAAAAATGAACAAAATTAGAATCGTTTTCTATAATAAATCATACGAATAATCGTATAATCAAAGAAAATTTAATCACTGGAAACTTACAACAAAATTCAAACTCGCAATATTCTACAAAGATAATATTACACGAATCAAACGATGCATTTAATTACTGCCTCACAAATCTATTTCTGTGACACTGCCTACTAAGACTTCCATTAAAAAGTGAGATTGCATCATTTACAACAGTAAAGAATAAATAAATAAAGAAAGAATTAAAAAAAAAAAAACAAATAAATATATAAATGAAAATAGTGAGGTTAACCATTAATCTGTCTTTACTTTTACTTTGATAGGTTGAATTATGTGAAATATTTACACAGTAATCGCGTTTCTGATAAATACATTGTCTTTAACATAAATCTGAAATTCAAGAATGACAAAGAAAGTCTGGAAAATATAAATGGAAGACTAATGTGCTACGAAGTCTTCAGCTAGGCTGCCCGTGTCTCACGCCTTGATATATTTTTGATAGCATTGAGCTCTCTTTGTCCTCTTACAGATGTAATTTGTAATTTCCTATATGTTTTTTTTTTCTGAGAAACAGCAAATATCAATGCTAATACCAGTTGAAGTAATGACTTCCTTGAAAGCGATCCTGAACGCAATGACTTTTGGCGGGAAATCTTTAGGTGGATTCTCGCGAACGGATTGGTCGTGACGTCACGCCCATGTAGCTCAGAGGCTTAATCTTCAACAACAACAAAAATCAAGGCGTATCTTATGATTGAGGGGCCTTCTTTGCCTACTCGCTTAATTTACCTATATCAAAAAGATGATTCTGTAATTATCAATGCTATAATTCATGAGTATGACGAAAACAAAACGTCATGATGACGTCACGGCCCACGCAGCACGAGGCTCCAAGTGAATCGGCTCAGTCCGACCTCCGGATCCTTCGACATTGGGTTCAGGGAACATTTAGACTTTCTCGGCCGCATAAGTGCGATGGCTGAGGACGTAAACCAACTGTTTTCGACGGAAGAATGACTCTCCTTCCCGGAGATCGAGAAGAATCGCTTCGAGAATATCCTGAGAGAAACTACAAAGCGATGAAAGACTTCGGTGAGTTGTGTCGCTTCGAATGTGCATTTCACTTCCATCGGATATTTATCGGAAACGGATTATTTTCTTAAGTGAGGCCGTAGAGATGTGCCAATTCTTAAAAAAAATATGGGTATCCACTGAAAAGGAAATTACTCCCTAAAACTCTGTTTGAACCCCTCTAGGTCTGGCTTGCCCCCCCCCCCCCAAAGGGCACACTCACACGATATTTTTTGCCTTAATTTCCCTGGCCGTAGCTTAATGCTCCCAAATAGCAGAAACTGTTTGCGCTCATGTGATATCATTAATACGCTAATAGCAACAGGGGATAAACAAGCCGTGTGCAAAATGCTTGTCAATTGCATGGACTCAACCCCGACGCCCCTTTTGTTACCAACAAAGACTATCTACGAAAGACCGGAAAGTCAAGCAAAATCCTGTGAGTAATGCGGCGTCGGCGCAATAGATGGCGTTAGTGAGCATCTCGTGACGTCATCTCATACCGTCTGTTTGTTTACATAGAAGCGCGAAAATTGAATGGCAGTTCCGACAATGCCAGGAAAGTCTTATCCTTGTTCTGCTAGTAAAAAGCAAAAAGAAGAGAATAAACAACTTATATTTCAGATTTTTGGCCAAGGAAAAAGAAAGGTTTGTAATATTTTTTTTTTTTAGATATAAGCTAAGATATGTGATGTTTAGATTGACATAAGCAAGATATAAATTGGATCACAAGAAATTATTTTGATTGGTAAAGGTGTCAAGTCATGACGCCCGTCTAAAAAAGTAGAGGCCATAATTCTACTTAATATTATAGTGCAAGCCTTAATCTACAATTTGTCTTAAGCTGACGATAGATTTGACATCAATAGAGTGAAAAAATTGTGTCAGGTTGATTTTGAGATAGATTATAGTTATCACCCAAATCAAATATATATCGATTGAACAATGCTCATTACTTTGTAGATCTGCATAGTAGGAACAAACAGAAATATAGAAAAAGTAAAATAAGTTCAAATTTTAACAGGATAACGACGGGTGGCCTCTTTCGAGCTCCTAGCCAGAGTATAAAAGGCGTAGCAGATGCATTCCAGGCAGCTCCTAGGAAAGGGGGTTAGGGGACAGTCCCCTAATCAAACATAAAAACCTGTTAATGAGGAAATTAATCTCAAAATCATGCGGTCGCATTGCGAAGAATTGAAATAATAATGTGTATTTCGGCCATTTATTTGTAAAGGTTTTGCTATTATTCTAATAAAGATATTGTAATCATTTTCTTTAATTTATCATACTCAATTTCTATGTATTGATGCATGTTTTGCAATATCATATACATATGTCACTAATGTTATGTGACTGTAGGCCTATAAGTTCATTGTGCCACGTGGTTTAATGTGTCCTGTATATGGCATGTTGTATACGCCGTATGTGTGTCGTGCATGTATGAACTACCAATTTACAGTTGTTAACCGGCCCTAAATTGCCGAATGGGTAGCTTCGGGCTGGGAGGGGCGAAAGAATTTATGAAGAAAATAAATGCTACTACAGTCATGATACGATATGAATTATATATATATATATATATATATATATATATATATATATATTCTATTTTTAGTAAATAAGCTATTCGCAACCCCCTCTGAATAAGTCTGAACTGACCAAGAACATGAACCGAGTGAGCACACCCCCACTGAACGACGTCGGATGTTTAGTTGGGCGTCGAGTCAACGGATGGCGCTGGTAGACGACCGGGGAGCTCACATTTTTTAGAATGCGTTAGATAGCATGTTTCCTGTCTTTCGTAGATAGTCTTTGGTTACCAAGGTCCACGGGACCTGCGGGGCGGCAACGGAAGGCCACCGCCAGGCCAGACTCACGACTCCCATTCTCCGACTCGGGCATTCTGGCAAGATGGAGCTCCGAGTGGCTGTTCGATCATTGACAGATGGCGCATAGCCAGGGAGGTCTACGAGCTCCATCTTTGTAGAAAATAAGAGGTGATGTGTTGGGTTTTGTTGGAGTGCCAAGAGGCAGAAGAGTTTGTGAAAAAAGGAAATTGTAGAGAGTACAGCTAAGAGAAGGATAAGGAAACACAAAATCTCGAAGGCTTTTATCGTCCATGTAAGACTCGTTGGTTACGGAAGCGGAGGGTTAGCAAATACATGCCTGGAAAAGCGTAGCTGTGAATATGTGGTATTTATATAATTATTGTGTTCCATTCATTGCACACATACCCCCTTTCCCACACAAAAAACTTATGCGCAGACATCCACATATACTTCTGAAACGCGCGCATGCGCTTGTGCAAAATGTAAAAACTCCTAAATACGCACATTACAATCATGGTATTACCAAAATGCTTCACTGGATCCTGGGATTTCTTTCATCACCGGCTCATACACATTTCCTCTCCAAAATCTCTTAAACAACTGCGGCGCACTTTCAGAACTGGACCCCAAGCTCCCGGAATTTGTCCTGCGACAACAGAGGAAGCGACGCAACCGGTTCGTCGCGCCCACAGCCAGGCCAGCTCGAGTCCTCGACTACGATGGAGACGACGAGTGGACGCCCGAGAAGGAGCAATCTAGCAGGTAGGGCGACGACTCCAGTGGGCATAGTGAATGAGACTGCATGTACAGTACTTTTGCTGGAAGCTAATATAATGTAGGTTAATTGTTGTTGCAGGTATGCAAGCAAAAATGGAAGCGTAGGCAGTGGAGAAGAGGCGGTCATAAGAGGAAGGCAGAGTGGAGTGCTCCAGCTTGGGCCAGAAGGAGTGAGAACTACAATGATGCGCCACTCAGTGTAGACCAAGTAGATGTTATACCGTTGTGGACTCCAGCCAAGTTGGTGGCAGGTGCAAAGGGCACTGCCAAGGTTTGTCTTCGTGCCTTTGTCTATGTGTTTGCGTGATGTCCTCCCTTTTTTATCCAGAATCCGTGTCCGCTTCTGTTTTTGTCTGTGCATAGAAATGCAACTAGAACTGGAACATATGTGTTGAAAGTTTTTAAGCATGGGTTGTGCAGACTACGGCAGATATTGTCTATTTGGCAAGTGTGCCACGAGCAATAAAGTAAAGCGAGTGTTGGATACCGTATGGCAATGGATTTGCATCCGCCATTTGTCTGGTGTCGATCATCTCTCTAAGGAGTGTTTGGTGGTGTGAGTGCCTACAGGTATGTCTGGGTGCTGGAGATCGACGGGAGAGCCGGGGCGGCTCCCCCGACGGCTAAGGCCTGGGTAGGCCTGTTTGCTGTTGTGGTCTTGCTCTGCTGGAGGATCAGTGAGTGCTGATCTCAGCCCGGGCGCCGGAGCTGAAGTCGTGCTAAGCTGTGTCAGCTACCGGGAGCAAGGGGAGCCTGCTGTCCAATGAGTGATATGAATTTTTATTGACTATTTGCAGCATCGCCAAGCTGAGTCATCCTAATATATCTATGCTTTATTACAAATGAAAAAATGATCTTTGAAAATTGTTTAATCTTCCAGATAATGCCAACAACAGTCGACAGGTCAAGTGGAGCTTCCGCTGCAGAAAATGTTAAGCCAGAGGACAAGGGGATCTTTCCGGTCCCATGTCACACTTGGCAACAGATACAGAGATGGAAACAGTGAAAGAGCTTCCAGCTGAGACTAAAACACTTGGTGTAGGATCAGATGAAGAGGCCGGGGAAACAGCTGTTTTTCAGGAGAGTCCAAGACGCGGTACCCAAGACGTAGTAGCAGAAGGAAGCTGTTTTATGAAGAGAACGTTACTAAAGATGATTTTATTTGTAAGAAAAAGCGTTTGTTACATCTTCATAGGTGTCGTTGCGTGTATTTCATAATCTCGAATTATTTTCATTTCATCACTTTATAAAATTGTATATGATAGTTGTGCACTTAGGATTGTACATGTAGATAGATTCAGATACCATGAATTCTATTTGTTTGCAGATTGCGCAGACTGTGAAGAAGAGAAAGAGGGAGAGTGTCCGTACCACCCATTGTTCCTTATTCTGGATAACCCCGTAAGAATGAAAAATTAACTGGTGTGAAAATTTAACTAGTCACAAGCATAACTGATGATGATCATAGACACATGCACACGCACACATTTTCAAATAGCGTTATCATCCCAATGGTATGTTTGGGCAGGTTGTTCGAGACGGCAGCGAGAAAGATCGTGCTCGCCTCACAGCCCCTTGGCCCCTCACTGTGTACGACTCGAAAGTGAAGGGGGCAGGAAAAGGCGTGTGGACCAATGCTCATCTCCCAGCCCATCTTGTGTTTGGTCCGTATGAGGGCCGTGTCCTATCTGGCCATCCGGAAGCCGGCAAAGAATCTGGCTATGGTGGAAGGTTAGTGTATTCTGTGGCGTAAAACATATCAGATAAATGTATTGCAGAATGATTTTTCAGCGGTTTTCTACAAACCACCAAATATTTTAAGAGGAAATCCACTTACGCAAATAGTTGAAAATTTCTTCACCTTCCTGTACTTTCCAGATTCGAGGTGCTGGAACAAGGAATACATGCATTGATGCTGTAGACAGTGCAGTTAGTAACTGGATGCGTTACGTCAACTGTTCAAGGACTGACGCTGAGACTAACCTATCTGCATTTCAGTACAAGGGGCAGATCTACTACAAGACGGACTCTGCAATTAGCAGGTCAGTATAATTCAGTAGTGAAGTCAACTTTTCCTGACCATACACCTGCCATAACGTGCTTATTGATATTTAAAGATACAGACAAACAAGGCCAAACTAATTGTGAACAGGGGGAGCGAGCTGATGTGCTGGTACGGAGACGATTTCGGGAAGGATCTTGGTCTATCGAGAGAGCCATCCAAGTGGAAATCAGCGAAGAAAGACGCAATAGGTGCGCAAATACGTTTCAAAACCTTATTTCCCATTCTGAAGGGAAAGTGTATTCAGAAATTGTTGCAATAAATTTGAGATGATATAGATTGATATTGTAAGGATAAATAATCCGTAACTAAGCTTGCTATACTTCCAACGTGTGTGTGTGTGAGCATGTGCATGTGCATAAGTGCATTAGATGTATGTACATATGTATGTCTGCACATCTATTACATCAATGTATTCAAATATGTACACACACATACACACACACACACACACACACACGTGTGTGTGTGTGTATATACATAGACATTTGCATGCACTCGTGTGTGTGTGTGTATTTGTATGTATATATATATTATATACATTTATGTATATATATATATCTGTGAATTTAATATGTATGTGAATATGTACATATACATATAATGATGGTTTAACTGCTGTCAGTTCATCTATTTTCTTTGATAATGTATGCACTTTCCCCATGTCTGGATTTTGTTTCAGATCGACAGTGCGAATGGTCTGGCTTTAGTCTACACCTCGAAAGATCTAATGCGTCCCTAAAAGTGTTCAGAAAGCGTATTCGCACTTACACGCCGCCAACATGCTCCACGCGAGGAACCAGCAGCAGTAGTGGCTCAACCAAACAATCTTTGCGAGAAGAGGCGCCGCATTCCCGGAAAAGGCGTCTCATGAGACGCTGTGTTCGCCAGCATGTGATGATATAATACTGAGTGTTCCAGTGTGATTACAAGTGTGAATCTGCTGATATCTAAATAAACATGTGTTAATACACAGTGGAAAAGAACTGTTGGAGTGTTCAGAGAGTAGGAAAAGATTTGCTGACAGTGATAAGTTGAAGGAAAACCCAAAAAAATAGAATCAGGAGAAGCCGTTCGAGCGTTCCGAGTCTGGGAAAAGGTTTAATCAAAGTGGTCATCTGAAGAAACACACCAGAGGATTCACTCAGGAGAAAGCCGTTCAAGTGTTCGAGTGTGGAAAAGTTTAATCAAAGTGGTCATCTGAAGCACATCAGAGGATTCACTCAGGAGAAAAGCCGTTCGAGTGTTCTGAGTGTGGAAAAAGATTTAGTGAAAGTGGTTCTCTGAAGAAACACCAGAGGATTCACTCAGGAGAAAAGCCGTTCGAGTGTTCCGAGTGTGGCAAAAGGTTTAGTCAAAGTGGTCATCTGAAGAAACACCAGAAGATTCACTCAGGAGAAAAGCCGTTCGAGTGTTCTGAGTGTGGAAAAAGGTTTAATCAAAGTGGTCATCTGAAGACACACCAGAGGATTCACTCAGGAGAAAAGTCGTTCGAGTGTTCTGTGTGGAAAAAGTTTAATCAAAGTGGTCATCTGAAGAAACACAGAGAATTCACTCAGGAGAAAAGCCGTACGAGTGTTCCGAGTGTGGAAAAAGATTTAGTGAAAGTGGTTCTCTGAAGAAACACCAAAAGATTCACTTAGGAAAAGCCGTTCGAATGTTCCGAGTGTGGAAAAAGATTTAGTGCAAGTGGTTCTCTGAAGAAACACCAGAGGATTCACTCAGGAGAAAAGCCGTTCGAGTGTTCCGAATGTGAAAAGTGGGGGTTTAATGCAAGTGGTAATCTAAAACACACCAGAAGATCCACAGAGTGCGCTGAATTATTTGTCTCACCTGTACATTTTGCTTTAGATGTGAGGCTAGATATAAAGACAGGGAAACATTTTTATTTTTTTTAATTTTTTTTTACACCAAATGAAGCCTCAGCTGACTAGTTTACTTTACCCAGTACGACTATCTGAAAACCTTCTTATTATACTTTTTATTCAATCCTCAATGGTAGAGGGATTGTTATTAATGAATTTGGTGCATATCAATAAAAAAACGAAAGCAATTCTTGAGCAAGTTTGTTACTTATTTCCTATTTTTTGTCTCCAAAAGGATATTTATATAATATATATACATATGATATATAATATTTAATCCTGCAGATTCGTTTTAACTTAAATAATACTAATACTTAAATAATAATAAGTTTTGATGTCCAGGAATTTTGGCGGGAAATCTTTGATCGTGACGTCATACTCGAGCACCTCTGAAGCTCAGTCCTTTTCAAGAACAACAAAAGATTCAACTTTTACTATGAAATTTGATAATTTCTTGAACTGTCATATCTAGAGACCATTGTGCAATATATCTCGTGGAATCGATGGGTATGGCGAAAATCATTACAACACCCTCCTTCCCTCTCTCACTCTATCTTTATCTCCTTCCTCCCCCTCTCTCACACACTACCCCTCCCCCCTTGTTCTCCATCTCTTGGGTATCCCCCACATTTCTTACCTTTTCTCCTCCCCTCCTATCAACTCTCAACCTCGCCTCCCTTTCGCCACAACAAACAAGCATAAGATTGCATATTTGCTTTTCCTTACTCCGCTCACTCACTCGAGACTCGCCTCATCAATTTGCCTTGCTTCATCCTCGTTTATCGTTTCAACTCTTCCTCTTTCCGTCTTGTTTCAGTGATCCTGTCTTATTTTTATCATTTTTTTATCATTTATTCATGATTTTTATTTTTTGTGGCTGACTGGGTCTATGGTATCTCTTTTTCTCATTTTCCATTAGATTTTGCTCTCCGTTCTCCCTCCTTGTGCCCTCTTTCTCGTTTCGTTTTTTCTCTCTCTGACTGCCTGTCTGTCGTTCTATCTGTCCATGTGTGTGTGTGTGTGTGAGTATAAAAGGCTCTAAATCCTCCTATATGGATTTATTGAATTACTGGTGCGGTAGAGATACACTGATGTAGCTGTGCACTTTTATTTAAGAACACTAGTATGAAAGGAACGCGATACGGCTCTTGGTGCTGGTGTCCGGCCTACACCAACGAGGTGGTACGGCCGATTACGGGCAAGCTCGCCGAGAGTATGAGAATGAGAGCTTGGGTCAAGCAAGCAAAGTTAAAAGAAAAGAGGTCGGCCACCCTTATATTCTGACCAGTGGGCGCAAGCGGGCGCGAACGGACCACGTGGTCCAACCACGCGGTGCGACCCGGTCCATGTGGCATGCTATGCAGTATGCTATATCGCTCGGCACCTACGATATAGCATACTGCATAGCATGCCACGTGGTCCGGGTCCGCGCCGCATGGCATGCTATGCAGTATGCTATAGTGAGTCTGTCCTTCATTCTCTGTATATTCTCTCTCTCTCTATCTGCCTATCTGTATATTTGTCTGTAACTAATAGCTTGCATTTTTAATTTTATATAAAACGATATATCATACCTTTCAAATCATTAAACTGCATTCTAGTGTTGCCATATTACTACTGTGCAATGATTGAAAAAAAAATATAGAAGTATAGAACGACTCAACTAAGACTTTGAATGAGAACGTTTTATTACCAGGACGTTTAGAGACAATAATAGTGAAAATTTGACAGCGCCCCTTGCAGCTGCCACTGACTTGGCTGGAGTCGACAGCGACATATACTTGCAGTAGGTTTGTTAAGATTTTGCGAGGTCCAACCCTATGAATGGTCTTATATACGGATATGCATATATTTAGACGTGCATATCAACCGTTCAGATTGACACATAAATGTATATCTATCAGATAGACAAATATGCATTGATTTCTGTGTATATGCATGTCTGAATATGCCCTTTGCAGCTGCCACCAACTTGGCTGGAGTCCACAACGGTATAGCATCTACTTGGTCGTAGTTTCACACTCCTGGCCCAAGCTGGAGCACTCCACTCTGCCTTCCTCTTGTGACCGCCTTCTTCCACCGCACACGCTTCCCTTAGCTTGCATACCTGCACTTTATCTCTCCATAATCATGAAATTCCAACCACCTCCTCCAGTACCTTCCAGTAGATAATGGTATAGTGTAACACAGAGCAGTATGTTGGCCGACAATATATCTTGTATTTATGTGATTAAATTTATGTGTGGTATTAAAGAATGCTACATTTTTTAATCTTGGAAATGGCATAAAAGGTGCATTGTCACGGGGACAAAACGTTTAGTTGGAAGTCTCACGGCGCAGCCTGCAACAGGGATCACCTGAAGGGAAGCACAAATATAATTGGTTGTCCGGTCGATTTAATTACATACTTTAAAGTGTTTGTTAAAATTTAGAACAATGCACACACTCGAAAAAAAAAATATATATATACAATAAATATAAATACAAATATATCGAAAGTTATAAGATAGATATAGAGATAGATCTAGACAAAAATATATTGATAGTAATTGCCATGATTTGAAATTTTACAACACGAGGAAAACAATGAAAAACATGGATCTAAAACAGATAACTGATACAAGATATTGGTTCAATATATATGCGGCAGCAAGACAAGAAATGCGTCTTCATTTATCAGCACTTTCCGTCTCGAACATTGTAGCCCCCAGTATCTCCAACTACAGAATACGTCACACTGTGGGGCCACCAGTACAATGTGTCTGCACTGCCTGCAGCAATAAGGGCTTCAAGAATAGTCTCTTGGATTCTTGCACACGGTTTAAACCTTTCATGGAGGAGACATTCGAGCTGCAAAAAATAAGTACCATTGCTATGTACTGAAATGCAGCTCACCTAATATACAAATAATTTCAAAATGGCTAACATAAATAGCAAATTCAATACACAAACATAAAATACGTACATCGTATCCCAAAGCGGGTAACACTGACACTTCACATCACCACAGGCACGTCACGGCACGACAGGTACATCTCAGGACAGCCTTGCCCAGGCTCTCCCAGCCAATCATAATACAGATTATAGGAAGACCAATCAGAACTAAGCGCTGCTCGTGCGTGAACCAATCAGCTTCAAGGATGGGAAACATTTGTACAAATGGGCTATTATCAATAATTAGTCAATGCATATATAAATCCCATTCTTACTGTCAATATATCTCTTGATATCGGTGATCGACTCAAACTCAACCTTCCGGTATAACCATATTCTTTCTTAATTACAGATGCTGCAAGGGGCGGGGCTACTTGTTGCCTGGGTAAATATGGCGGGAAAACGCGGTAACGTCTTGGCCATATCACATATTTCAACTTATTTCACTGGATAAACAGGATATCTGACTCATAATGACAAACATAAATTCATTCACTTCTACATCAGCCTATACACACATACGTTTCACATAACATAGTCCACATACTAAGATATTTCAAATAAAAAATGCCAGCAGCAAAAAAATGAAACAAAATTAGAACCGTTTTCTATAATAAATCATACGAATAATCGTATAATCAAAGAAAATTTAATCACTGGAAACTTACAACAAAATTCAAACTCGCAATATTCTACAAAGTAATATTACACGAATCAAACGATGCATTTAATTACTGACTCACAAATCTATTTCTGTGACACTGCCTACTAAGACTTCCATTAAAAAGTGAGATTGCATCATTTACAACAGTAAAGAATAAATAAAGAAAGAAAGATTAAAAAAACAAATAAATATATAAATGAAAATAGTGAGGTTAACCATTAATCTGTCTTTACTTTTACTTTGATAGGTTGAATTATGTGAAATATTTACACAGTAATCGCGTTTCTGATGAATAGATTGTCTTTAACATAAATCTGAAATTCAAGAATGAACAAAGAAAGTCTGGAAAATATATAAAAAGACTAATGTGCTACGAAGTCTTCAGCTAGGCTGCCCTGCCTCACGCCTTGATATATTTTTGATAGCATTGAGCTCTCTTTGTCCTCTTACAGATGTAATTTGTAATTTTTATGTTTTTTCTGATGAGAACAGCAAATATCAATGCTAATACCAGTTGAAGTAATGACTTCCTTGAAAGCGATCCGAACGCAATGATTTTTGGCGGGAAATCTTTAGGTGGATTCTCGCGAACGGATTGGTCGTGACGTCACGCCCATGTAGCTCAGAGGCTTAATCTTCAACAACAACAAAAATCAAGGCGTATCTTATGATTGAGGGGCCTTCTTTGCCTACTCGCTTAATTTACCTATATCAAAAGATGATATTCTGTAATTATCAATGCTATAATTCATGAGTATGACGAAAACAAAACGTCATGATGACGTCACGGCCCCACGCAGCACGAGGCTCCAAGTGAATCGGCTCAGTCCGAGCCTCGGCATCCGTTGATCCTTTCGACATTGGGTTCAGGGAACATTTAGACTTTTCGGCCGCATAAGTGCGATGGCTGAGGACGTAAACCAACTGTTTTCGACGGAAGAATGACTCTCCTTCCCGGAGATCGAGAAGAATCGCTTCGAGAATATCCTGAGAAACTACAAAGCGATGAAAGACTTCGGTGAGTTGTGTCGCTTCGAATGTGCATTTCACTTCCATCGGATATTTATCGGAAACGGATTATTTTCTTAAGTGAGGCCGTAGAGATGTGCCAATTCTTAAAAGAAAATATGGGTATCCACTGAAAAGGAAATTACTCCCTAAACTCTGTTTGAACCCCTCTAGGTCTGGCTTGCCTCCCCCCCCCCCAAAGGGCACACTCACACGATATTTTTTGCCTTAATTTCCCTGGCCGTAGCTTAATGCTCCCAAAATAGCAGAAACTGTTTGCGCTCATGTGATATTCATTAATACGCTAATAGCAACAGGGGATAAACAAGCCGTGTGCAAAATGCTTGTCAATTGCATGGACTCAACCCGACGCCCCTTTTGTTACCAACAAAGACTATCTACGAAAGACCGGAAAGTCAAGCAAAATCCTGTGAGTAATGCGGCGTCGGCGCAATAGATGGCGTTAGTGAGCATCTCGTGACGTCATCTCATACCGTCTGTTTGTTTACATAGAAGCGCGAAAATTGAATGGCAGTTCCGACAATGCCAGGAAAGTCTTATCCTTGTTCTGCTAGTAAAAAGCAAAAAGAAGAGAATAAACAACTTATATTTCAGATTTTTGGCCAAGGAAAAAGAAAGGTTTGTAATATTTTTTTTTTTTTTTTTTTTTTTTAGATATAAGCTAAGATATGTGATGTTTAGATTGACATAAGCAAGATATAAATTGGATCACAAGAAATTATTTTGATTGGTAAAGGTGTCAAGTCATGACGCCCGTCTAAAAAAGTAGAGGCCATAATTCTACTTAATATTATAGTGCAAGCCTTAATCTACAATTTGTCTTAAGCTGACGATAGATTTGACATCAATAGAGTGAAAAAATTGTGTCAGGTTGATTTTGAGATAGATTATAGTTATCACCCAAATCAACATATATATCGATTGAACAATGCTCATTACTTTGTAGATCTGCATAGTAGGAACAAACAGAAATATAGAAAAAGTAAAATAAGTTCAAATTTTAACAGGATAACGACGGGTGGCCTCTTTCGAGCTCCTAGCCAGAGTATAAAAGGCGTAGCAGATGCATTCCAGGCAGCTCCTAGGAAAGGGGGTTAGGGGACAGTCCCCTAATCAAACATAAAAACCTGTTAATGAGGAAATTAATCTCAAAATCATGCGGTCGCATTGCGAAGAATTGAAATAATAATGTGTATTTCGGCCATTTATTTGTAAAGGTTTTGCTATTATTCTAATAAAGATATTGTAATAATTTTCTTTAATTTATCATACTCAATTTCTATGTATTGATGCATGTTTGGCAATATATATACATTATATGTCACTAATGTTATGTGACTGTAGGCCTATAAGTTCATTGTGCCACGTGGTTTAATGTGTCCTGTATATGGCATGTTGTATACGCCGTATGTATGTCGTGCATGTATGAACTACCAATTTACAGTTGTTAACCGGCCCTAAATTGCCGAATGGGTAGCTTCGGGCTGGGGGGCGAAAGAATTATATGAAGAAAATAAATGCTACTACAAAGTCATGATACGATATGAATATATATATATATATATATATATATATATATATATATATATATTTTATTTTAGTAAATAAGCTATTCGCAACCCCCTCTGAATAAGTCTGAACTGACCAAGAACATGAACCCGAGTGAGCACACCCCCACTGAACGACGTCGGATGTTTAGTTGGGCGTCGAGTCAACGGATGGCGCTGGTAGACGACCGGGGAGCTCACATTTTTTAGAATGCGTTAGATAGCATGTTTCCTGTCTTTCGTAGATAGTCTCCGACTCGGGCATTCTGGCAAGATGGAGCTCCGAGTGGCTGTTCGATCATTGACAGATGGCGCATCGCCAGGGAGGTCTACGAGCTCCATCTTTGTAGAAATAAGAAGGTGGTGTGTTGGGTTTTGTTGGAGTGCCAAGAGGCAGAAGAGTTTGTGAAAAAAGGAAATTGTAGAGAGTACAGTTAAGAGAAGGATAAGGAAACACAAAATCTCGAAGGCTTTTAGCGTCCATGTAAGACTCGTTGGTTACCTACGGAAGCGGAGGGTTAGCAAATACATTGCCTGGAAAAGCGTAGCTGTGAATATGTGGTATTTATATAATTATTATGTTCCATTCATTTGTATACATACCCCCTTTCCCACACAAAAACTTATGCGCAGACATCCACATATACATTGAAACGCGCGCATGCGCTTGTGCATAATGTAAAAACTCCTAAAACGCTCATTACAATCACGGTATTATCAAAATGCTTCACTGGATCCTGGGATTTCTTTCATCACCGGCTCATACACATTTCTCTCTCAAAATCTCTTAAACAACTGCAGCGCACTTTCAGGACTGGACCCCAAGCTCCCGGAGTTCGTCCTGCGACAACAGAGGAAGCGATGCAACGGGTTTGTCGCGCCCACAGCCAGGCCAGCTCGAGTCCTCGACTATGATGGAGACGACGAGTGGACGCCGAGAAGGAGCGATCTAGCAGGTAGGGCGACGACTCCAGTTTGCATAGTGAATGAGGATGCATGTACATTGCTTTTGCTGGAAGCTAATATAATGGAGGTTAATTGTTGTTGCAGGTATGCAAGCAAAAGTGGAAGCGTAGGCGGTGGAAGAAGAGGCGGTCATAAAAGAAGGCAGAGTGGAGTGCTCCAGCTTGGGCCAGAAGGAGTGAGAACTACGATGATGCGCCACTCAGTGTAGACCAAGTAGATGTTATACCGTTGTGGACTCCAGCCAAGTTGGTGGCAGGTGCAAAGGGCACTGCCAAGGTTTGTCTTCGTGCCTTTGTCTATGTGTTTGCTTGATGTCCTCCCTTTTTTATCCAGATTCCGTGTCCGCTTCTGTTTTTGTCTGGGCATAGAAATGCAGGAGTCCTGGAACATAGTTTTTAAGCATGGGTTGTGCAGACTACGGCAGATATTGTCTATTTGGCAAGTGTGCCACGAGCAATAAAGTAAAGCGAGTGTTGGATACCGTATGGCAATGGATTTGCATGCCATTTGTCTGGTGTCGATCATCTCTCTAAGGAGTGATTGGTGTGGGTGTGAGTGCCTACAGGTATGTCTGGGTGCTGGAGAGACGGGGCGTCCCCCGACGGCTAAGGCCTGGGTAGGCCTGTTTGCTTGCTGTTGTGGTCTTGCTCTGCTAGAGGATCAGTGAGTGCTGATCTCAGTCCGGGCGCCGGGCTGAAGTAGTGCTAAGCTGTGTCAGCTACCGGAAGCGAGGGGAACCTGCTGTCCAATGAGCGAGCCGGGAGCTGTCCGTTCTCATCCAATCATCAGTGTTCGAGAGGCAGCTGACGTGAGGTGCTGAGGACGCAGCTGATGGACCTTACCTAACCTGGAAGTATGCCACGCTGCAGGTTTCGGGGTTGGCTACAACCGTACGTTTACGTATGCATGGCCAAAGCACTCTTCTCCAAGTCACTTTTTCTGAGAAAGTCCATCGTAACTCAATTTTGTAACTTCTCGTGTAGAACTATGTTTATTTAGGAGTGATATGAATTTTTATTGACTATTTGCAGCGTCGCCAAGCTGAGTCATCCTAATATATCTATGCTTTATTACAAATGAAAAAATGTTCTTTGAAAATTGTTTAATCTTCCAGATAATGCAAGCAACAGTCGACAAGTCAAGTGGAGCTTCCGCTGCAGAAAATGTTAAGCCAGAGGACAAGGGATCTTTCCCGGTCCCATGTCACACTTGGCAACAGATACAGAGATGGAAACAGTGAAAGAGCTTCCAGCTGAGACTAAAACACTTGGTGTAGGATCAGATGAAGAGGACCTGGGAAACAGCTATTTTTCAGGAGAGTCCAAGACGCGGTACCCAAGACGTAGTAGCAGAAGGAAGCTGTTTTATGAAGAGAACGTTACTAAAGATGATGATTTATTTGTAAGAAAAAGCGTTTGTTACATCTTCATAGGTGTCGTTGCGTGTATTTCATAATCTGAATTATTTTCATTTCATCACTTTATAAAATTGTATATGATAGTTGTGCACTTAGGATTGTACATGTAGATAGATTCAGATACCATGAATTCTATTTGTTTGCAGATTGCGCAGACTGTGAAGAAGAGAAAGAGGGAGAGTGTCCGTACCACCCATTGTTCCTATTCTGGATAACCCCGTAAGAATGAAAATTTAACTGGTGTGAAAATTTAACTAGTCACAAGATGATGATCATAGACACATGCACACGCACACATTTTCAAATAGCGTTATCATCCCAATGGTATGTTTGGGCAGGTTGTTCGAGACGGCAGCGAGAAAGATCGTGCTCGCCTCACAGCCCCTTGGCCCCTCACTGTGTACGACTCGAAAGTGAAGGGGGCAGGAAAAGGCGTGTGGACCAATGCTCATCTCCCAGCCCATCTTGTGTTTGGTCCGTATGAGGGCCGTGTCCTATCTGGCCATCCGGATGCCGGCAAAGAATCTGGCTATGGGTGGAAGGTTAGTGTATTCTGTGGCGTAAAACATATCAGATAAATGTATTGCAGAATGATTTTTCAGCGGTTTTCTACAAACCACCAAATATTTTAAGAGGAAATCCACTTACGCAAATAGTTGAAAAGTTCTTCACCTTCCTGTACTTTCCAGATTCGAGGTGCTGGAACAAGGAATACATGCATTGATGCTGTAGACAGTGCAATTAGTAACTGGATGCGTTACGTCAACTGTTCAAGGACTGAGCTGAGACCAACCTGTCTGTATTTCAGTACAAGGGGCAGATCTACTACAAGACGGACTCTGCAATTAGCAGGTCAGTATAATTCAGTAGTGAAGTCAACTTTTCCTGACCATACACCTGTCATAACGTGCTTATTGATATTTAAAGATACAGACAAACAAGGCCAAACTAATTGTGAACAGGGGGAGCGAGCTGATGTGCTGGTACGGAGACGATTTCGGGAAGGATCTTGGTCTATCGAGAGAGCCATCCAAGTGGAAATCAGCAAGAAAGACGTAATAGGTGCGCAAATACGTTTCAAAACCTTATTTCCCATTCTGAAGGGAAAGTGTATTCAGAAATTGTTGGAATGAATTTGAGATGATATAGATTGATATTGTAAGGATAAATAATCCGTAACTAAGCTTACTATAATTCCAACGTGTGTGTGTGTGTGAGCATGTGCATGTGCATAAGTGTATTAGATGTATGTACATATGTATGTCTGCACATCTATTACATCAATGTATTCAAATATGTACACACACACACACACGTGTGTGTATACATACATAGACATTTGGATGCACTCGTGTGTGTGTATTTTGTATATATATACATTTATGTATATATATATATGTTATTATAATATATATATATTTATATATATATTTGTGAATTTGATATGTATATGTGAATATGTACATATACATATAATGATGGTTTAACTGCTGTCAGTTCATCTATTTTCTTTGATAATGTATACTTTCCCCGTCTGGATTCTTTTCAGATCGACAGTGCGAATGGTCTGGCTTAGTCTACACCTCGAAAGATCTAATGCGTCCCCTAAAAGTGTTCAGAAAGCGTATTCGCACTTACACGCCGCCAACATGCTCCACGCGAGGAACCAGCAGCAGTAGTGGCTCAACCAAACAATCTTTGCGAGAAGAGGCGCCGCAGTTCCCGGAAAAGGCGTCTCATGAGATTCGCCAGCATGTGATGAATACGTTCGCAGTGTGATTACAAGTGTGAATCTGCTGATATCCTAAATCAACATATGTTAATACACAGTGGAAAAGAACTGTCGGAGTGTTCAGAGAGTAGGAAAAGATTTGCTGACAGTGATAAGTTGAAGGAAATCCAAAGAATTGAATCAGGAGAAAGGCCGTTCGAGCGTTCCGAGTGTGGAAAAAGGTTTAATCACAGTGGTCATCTGAAGACACACCAGAGGATTCACTCAGGAAAAGCCGTTCGAGTGTTCCGAGTGTAAAAAGGTTTATCAAAGTGGTCATCTGAAGACACACCAGAGGATTCACTCAGGAGAAAAGCCGTTCGAGTGTTCCGAGTGTGGAAAAAGGTTTAATGCAGTGGTCATCTGAAGAAACACCAGAGGATTCACTCAGGAGAAAAGCCGTTCAAGTGTTCCGAGTGTGGAAAAAGGTTTAGTCAAAGTGTTCATCTGAAGATACACCAGAGGATTCACTCAGGAGAAAAGCCGTACGGTGTTCCGAGTGTGGAAAAAGGTTTAATCAAAGTGGTCATCTGAAGACACACCAGAGGATTCACTCAGGAGAAAAGTCGTTCGAGTGTTCTGAGTGTGGAAAAAGGTTTAATCAAAGTGTTCATCTGAAGATACACCAGAGGATTCACTCAGGAGAAAAGCCGTACGGTGTTCCGAGTGTGGAAAAAATTTAGTGAAAGTTCTCTGAAGAAACACCAGAGGATTTCAGGAAAAAGCCGTTCGAGTGTTCCGAGTGTGGAAAAAGATTTAGTGAAAGTGGTTCTCTGAAGAAACACCAGAGGATTCACTCAGGAGAAAAGCCGTTCGAGTGTTCCGAGTGTGGAAAAAGATTTAGTGAAAGGGTTCTCTGAAGAAACACCAGAGATTCACTCAGGAGAAAAGCCGTTCGAGTGTTCCGAATGTGGAAAAGGTTTAATGCAAGTGGTAATCTGAAAACACACCAGAAGATCCACAGAGTGCGCTGAATTATTTGTACATTTTGCTTTAGATGTGAGGCTAAGATATAAAAGGACAGGGAAACATTTTGATATTTTTTTTATTTGTTTACACCAAATGAAGGCCTCAGCTGACTAGTTTTACTTTACCCAGTACGACTATCTGAAAACCTTACTTATACTTTTTATTCAATCCTCAATGGTAGAGGGATTTTATTAAGGAATTTGGTGCATATCAATAAAAAACGAAAGCAATTCTTGAGCAAGTTTGTTACTTATTTCCTATTTTTTGTCTCCAAAAGGATTGATTTATATATATTATAATACATACGATATATAATATTTAATCCTACAGATTCGTTTTAACTTAAATAATACTAGTCCTGAATATACTAAGTTTTGATATCCAGGAATTTTGGCGGGAAATCTTTGATCGTGACGTCATACTCGAGCACCTTGAAGCTCAGACCTTTCAAGCACAACAAAAGATTCAACTTTTACTATGAAATTAGATAATTTCTTGAACTGTCATATCTAGAGACCATTGTGGAATATGTCTCGTGGAATCTATGGGTATGGCGAAAATGCATTATGTCACGGCTTGAAACTAGCCGTTTGATCTTGAATAAGTTACCGAAACCATGTAAAAAAATCTTTGAAAATGAAGAGGGATCCGTCAGTGACGGCTTTAGATGACGTTAAAGCAACTATAATATTGATGATAATAATAATGATAATTATAACAATAATAAGAATAACAGTGATAGAGGTAACATCACTATCACCATTATTATTATTGTTAGTGTCATCATTATTATCTTTATCATTACAATTACCATTTTCTTTTTCCTCTCGCATTTCTTTGTGCTTTCTCTCTTTCTATCATCTCTATCTCCTTCCCTCTCTCTATGCACACTCCCTCGCTTACAACACCCTCCTTCCCTCTCTCTCACTCTATCTTTATCTCCTTCCCTCCCCCTCTCTCACACACACTACCCTCCCCCCTTGTTCTCCATCTCTTGGGTATCCCCCACATTTCTTACCTTTTCTCCTCCCCTCCTATCAACCTCTCAACCTCGCCATAACAAACAAGCATAAGATTGCATATTTGCTTTTCCTTACTCCCGCTCACTCACTCGAGACTCGCCTCATCAATTTGCCTTGCTTCATCCTCGTTTATCGGTTTCAACTCTTCCTCTTTCCGTCTTGTTTCAGTGTTCCTGTCTATTATTATTTAATTTTTTATCTTTTATTCATATTTTTATTTTTTTGTGGCTGACTGGGTCTATGGTATCTCTTTTTTCTCATTTTCCATTAGATTTTGCTCTCTTTCCCCCTCCTTGTTTTTTGCCACCTCTTCTCTCTTTTTTTTTC